ATTTCTGAAAAAGTCAGAGTGCAGGGAGAAGCAAAACTCGTTTTAGCAACTTGGTTGTGTTGCCAGGGCGACTTAGTTGGACTTGCTACATTCCCAGACATTGCTTCGGATTTGTAGTCAAGCATCAAGCAACAACTAGTCAAAGAGATAATTGAAGTCCAATTGAGGCCCAAGTCAGATGAGCAATTCCGGCAAATCGACTGTCGTCGAGTGTGAACAAGTCGCAAGTTGTGAAGATGAGGCAGATGGAGAATCAAGGATGGAAAGAGAACCAAAAGAGGAGGGATACCACAACCGTCGGGCATACATTTGGAGATCGAGTGTTAGTTTGATGCTAAAAATTACAAGATTCACTGTTGGTGCCAAATACGAGGGCCGAGAAATGTCTGGGAATGAACCAAGTCCACGAACCAACGCTGGCAATTATCATAACTTGCAAAACAGAAGATTTCGGCCACACTGCGTCGAACAAGACGAAACGAAGCCAGACCACTTCTATACATCGAGAGGAGACTGTTACCCAAATAGAGACCACAACATATTGGTCTTCGTATCTAAGTGAAAGCAAAATAAAGAACTTAAATGAAAGTCTCCTCAATAATAAAATAAGATGGACCCACGATGCCAATGAAGTTCATTTAGCCCTGCCCTCCGGAAGGTTTCATCCTCCCGACTGGAGTGTAATTTCTAAACTCGCCTCAGCAACGCCCCGCCCCCCCCCCTTCCCTGCCAACGCGAATTCTACACCGAGCGCGGATTAGGCAGGAACTGTAGTCAAGTATGGGCAATCCAACTAACAGTTTTAAAAAAAACACTGGGATCGCTTTGGTGAGATGCATTTCTGTGGTAAGGATGGCGCCTCTCAATGAGGATACTGGCCACAGTATCAGTGAAATGTCTGAGGATGCATCGAGTCAAAGATGCTAAGCTGGAAATTAGCATTGGGCCGGTTCCACAAAGTCTCCCTGTCGCTCCGACCAAGTTAGAAGAGGTCGAACCCAAACTATACAACCAGAGCAGAATGCGACCAGACCTAGGGCCACACCATTTTGGTTTTCATATCTACGATTGAGTTAAGGGTGAATAAAGTTTCTATTTGAGAATGATTATCCTCTCATGAGAAAAGCTGGATTTCTAAGAATCTTTTAGTTTGAGTTAGTGCGACTGTTTGGTCCAAAAACCAAACAGGGATCCCGATGGGCCTGGGCTAAGTCTTCATGAGCCATGTGATAGACATCATCTGAGTTATAAGTCATACCTTACGAAATGGCGCACAGTAGTGCGGTCATATGATAAAAAGAAACATAACACGGATTTCTCGGAGTCGCAGAGCAGTGAGGCGAGGACTCGTTCACATAATCCAACAGTCTGTATTCAGCGCCAGTTATTTCCCCTTCGATTTGGGATGAGGCAAACTCACAAACTCATTCTAACCAACCTTTTTTCTGAGTCATGTGAACCACTTGAAAAATATGCGCTTAAATGGGTTATAATTTTAATTTTATTTCTTTTAAAGATCCTAATTGTGTGTTTATATCGCCAGTCCTGCAATGGGTCCTGAGAGGGTCAAAGTTGAAAAAAGTATGGAGGTCGCGATGAAACATCTGAGCATTAACTTAGCATGTAAAATAGGTAAATGAAGTCCGACGGCCTCCTACTTGCTCCTTGAGGGTGAAGATAACCAGGGCGATCAGCTCCGGGTCCCCCGAGTCGACGGCCCTAGCGAGGCTCCGCGGAAAGCGCTCAAGACGCAGCAGCAATTGAACCTGACGCCAGGCGCGAGGCTCGTAGTCTACCAGCTGCTCGGCCAGTTGGAGCCGACCCGCCAAGATGGCTTGTCCGGCCACGTCGGCAAAGGACAATCCGGCCGGCCAGACTGCGCTACCTGCTGGCCGGCCGTTGTTGCCAGTCGAGAGGCCTTTCGAGCTGTACATGTCAGGCGGGCCGGCGGAGGCGGATGCGGATGCGGACGCATTGGCGCTGCTGCTGCAGAGTCTGGCGACCACCTCGGCCAGTCGCGAGGGTGGGACTGGCTCTTTTGCTGGTTGCCGGCAGGCCCAGTGGGCCAGGAGGTGGGTCCGTTCTAGGGAGAGGGGATTGGCACCGGGAGAACTGAGCGAATCGGAGGCTGTAACAAGCATAAAGGGAGAAAAATTTCGATATATGTAAATATAAATAAATATATAAATAATGGGGTCCAAAATCTGAGTCCACAATCAAAAAACTCTACTTATCGCATTTTGTCTAAAAGACCAATACTAATCACTATACTCAAATTAATAATTATTAAAGAAATGACAAGAATCAAACATTTTAGAAGTGGGTATGCCAGCATTAATGTATTAAGGGACTTTTCGGAAC